GGTTGTCAGATTCTTTGGTTGGGTTGTCAGATTCTTTGGTTGGGTTGTCAGATTCTTTGGTTGGTTTGTCAGGTTCTTGGGTTGATTTGTCAGGTTCTTTGGTTGGTTTTTTATTTTTATTTTTTGGTTTTTTGGTTAGTTTGTTAGGTTCTTTGGTTGGTTTGTCAGGTTCTTGGGTTGGTTTGTCAGGTTCTTTGGTTCGTTTGTCAGATACTTTGGTTTGTCAGGTTCTTTGGTTGGTTTTTTATTTTTATTTTTTGGTTTTTTGGTTAGTTTGTTAGGTTCTTTGGTTGGTTTGTCAGGTTCTTGGGTTGGTTTGTCAGGTTCTTTGGTTCGTTTGTCAGATACTTTGGTTTGTCAGGTTCTTTGGTTGTTTTGTCAGGGACTTTGGTTGGTTTGTCAGGTACTTTGGTGATCTGTTGGTTTGTCAGGTTCTTTGGTTGGTTTGTCAGGTTCTTGGGTTGGTTTGTCAGGTTCTTTGGTTCGTTTGTCAGATACTTTGGTTTGTCAGGTTCTTTGGTTGTTTTGTCAGGGACTTTGGTTGGTTTGTCAGGTACTTTGGTGATCTGTTGGTTTGTCAGGTTCTTTGGTTGGTTTGTCAGGTACTTTGGTGATCTGTTGGTTTGTCAGGTTCTTTGGTTGGTTTGTCAGGTACTTTGGTGATCTGTTGGTTTGTCAGGTTCTTTGGTTCGTTTGTCAGGTACTTTGGTTTGTCAGGTTCTTTGGTTGGTTTGTCAAATACTTTGGTGATCTGTTGGTTTGTCAGGTTCTTTGGTGGGTTTGTCAGGTTTTTTGGTGATCTGTTGGTTTGTCAGGTTCTTGTCATCTTTTTGTTGACTGTGATCTGATGTTGGGCCCTGTTGTATGTCTTATGATTCCAGTGCTCAGTTTATTGATTTCTGCAATCTCTGTGTGATTTTTACTCCTGCAGTGTGTTTGTTAGATCATGCTGTCTGTCCTTGGTTCCTGTTGTCTGTTATTTATTTTACTTTTTTGCAATTTTTCTGTTGACTCCTGTGGTGAGTTGTTGTTCCTGCAGTCTAACCGTGCTTGTAGAACGTTCTGCAGCAGATCATGGGTCGTCGGCCCAGTTAAATTCTAGGAATCTTCATGGGGCTGCGGCTGATCTTTAAACCAAATCAGATGCTTTAACTTCCTGTTTGCTGCTCTGTAAACAACAATCTGCAATAAAGATGATTTGTTAACATTCTGGTTGGTTCTGTTCTTGGGTGGTTGTGTTTTTCTGGTCTGACATGATTCATAGATGGCTTCTGTTTACACTGAAGACACAAGGTTACTAGGTGGCATTTCTTTACAATTCTTCAGAAACAGGTTAGAGCTAAGTGAGCTTTGAAATGTCTCTTATGTGGCGTAACAAGGTGTCTGGCCACAAATCTTCACATTTATTTAAGACTGAGCAGATTTGTTGCTGAGTTTATTCTGAGATTTGTCAGCTTTGAAGCTGAGAAAATAAAGTGTGAGCCTCATCGTTGTTTACCCAGCTGAACGAAGAGGAAAAATGTCATGAAAAACAGAAGTTTCTCTCAGACTCAGTCATGTCATTCAACTCATATTATCCTCGTTATTTTTGCTTTCAACGCTTTATGTTGAAATGTTTGTAGCAGTTAAATTTTTCATTAAAGTTTTTTTGGCCATGGACTATTTTGAAGCACCGCCTACTGGAAGCGACGCGCAATGGTTTGTGGGATTGTTTGGGGGCAAACAAAAGAAAAGTAAACGATGGGACATGTTATTAAAGTTTAAAGTTTGGATTGTTGCACATTTTAAAATGTTTATTTTGGTTCATGAGGTACCAACTTCTAAACAGAAAAAGGACAAACTCGTTCAGAATTTTTTATCTGCTCAACTGTTGGAATTAGTGCCTAAAATAGCAACGTGGAAATGCAAAATAGCTATAATACTGCTGTGCAATATTTTTACTCTTAATATAATATAGTAATTACTATAGTATAGCACTATTTTAAATCTATTGCCAAAGAAAATCCCAGAATATAGTGATCTTATTAACAGCATTATGAGCAGTGGGGCTGGATGATAAACATATAATCTATATATAATCTTGACAGGCTGACCTATGATTTATTAAATTCTGAGTATAAAATGTCCTTTTGGCCACACATCAAATTTGGCTTAAATATTAATTCAAAATACATCTTTTTGTTTTAACAGTGGTAAATGCGTTTGTTATTGTGATCTGTAGCTTTCTGTATTGTGTATATTATTGTTAATACATAAACCATACACCATTGTATGGTCAAGTTTTAGATAGATAGTCCATATGTTTGTAATATTAAGTGGTCAAAATGATCTGTAGTCAGGAAATGTGATGTGTGGCCCAGATCACTGTAAACCACGTTAACATATTTTGCACAAGATCTACTAGGCCGAGTGATGACAATCTTGTTTTCATTATTCTAAATATTTTAATATTTAAACTGTATCTGTGATCATTGTTGCACATATACACAAGTAAAATACAGTACACAACCCATTTTAAGTCATTTAATTCACACCGTGCGCTAGGCAAAGATGGCGGTACCCGCAAAATAGTCCATATGTGGTTAAATGTTTTACCAAGATATCTGTTTAAAAAAGTAAAGATTCAAGAAGCCCATAAATGAGGGCTGTGGTCAGTGTTGTTTAATCTAAATGCTTATATTCCTAAAACGCTCATGTGATGAAGGTGAGGAGGAGTAAACTCTTACATTCTATTATAAAAAGGTCAAAAATATTCATATTTGAAACAGTTGTTAAATGAAATTTCCAGCAGGGAGATCAAAAATAAATGATTTTAAATCAATAAACATGTTGGAGTCAAAGTGTGAAACCTTGTTTTTGTTTGAATCTGTGACTTCCTGTGTTTCAGAGAGGCTGTACAACTCTAAAGGTCCAGAGCTCAGACGCTGTTTGTTTTCACTGAAGCAGCTCTTCCAGGTAACGTACCTCATCCACCGGACTTTACCTTCCTTTCATGTCCAGGTCTTCTTAACAGGATGTCGACAGGCAGGAAGTAGAAAGGCAGGAAGTGTTTTAGGTTCAAAGTTCTCGGACTGAAATTAGTATTTAAGACAAGAAAAACAGGCGAAAAGTACTCAGACAGATGTACTCAGGCTAAAAATACTTCGACAGGAAATACTGAGGTAGTTTAATGTCCCAAATATGTCGAATTAATGACATTTTGTTTTGTATTTACCAGTTTGTAATCTGAACTCATATTTTCAATCTTAAGTTTTAACTGCAGAAATATTTTTGCTCCACTTTTATATACAAATAATCAGAATCGGATACATTTTCTACTACATGGTAACAGTCAGTGGTGGGCAGCGCTAAACCAAAAATTAGCTCCACGATTTCGAAAGCGCTTATAAAAATATTTTAGACACGCAACTTCAAAACCGCTTATGCCGGAGAAAAACTAGCGGAAGCTAATTTTAAAGCCCAAGTTCAATTTGACACTTACTAGCTGACAATTCATGTACAATTTATACACAACACTGCCAACTAGCGGTGTATGAACTCTTTTACAACTTAACTCTACAACTGCCGATTGCTGGGGATCTGATTTCCTGAAACAGACCTCTGGCTCCTGGTGTAAAAAACAAAATGTTGTTGAGGATTGCTAGTACGGCTGATTTTTTTTAAAAAGTTGTTGAGGATTGCTGGTTTGGCTGCTTCTTTGTCTTTTTCTTTTGTTTGTTGTAGATTTTTCATTAAAGAAGCATCAATAAAGTAGTTTTAAAACTGTTATTGAAAAACTGAAGCGATGCATTCTGGGTACATGACGGATTTTATTTGTGACGGCCTGGGAAATGAAAGCACGGGGAACAGGAAACTAGTATCTTCCCTTCAAAATAAGAGCTTGGATTTTAAAGTTTTCCAGTTCACCTGAAACTCATCAGACTGAAGAAGTCTCTTGGAGGAGAGACGAAACGTTTCACTAAAGAACCATCCAGAGGACCTACTGATTTTTTCTTTTGGATTTTTTTCTACCTGGATTAGGATGTTTTCTATGTAGTTGCTCCAGTTGACCACTAGATGTCAGTCTTCACCAACATAACATATTTAAATAATTCCGTTGGTCGATTGCTCTTGAACTCCAGCGTTTAAACTTTTCTTTTTTTTAAAAAAAAAAAAAAGGAGCTCCGATTGTAAAGTAAAAATAAATCAATACATACAAAATTTTAGTATGGATTACAAACGTTTACTGTTTTAGCTGTTGCCTTCCTGCTACGTAAGCAGACACAAAGCATTGTGGGAAATGAGAACCGTGGCCGAAAGCAACAGTCAGCAGGATGTATACCTTCACAATAAGTGTGTTTATCTGGGAGGGGTGCTGTTGGATAGATCACATGTTGTGATTCATTGACAGCCATACCTTGATGTAATGATGACTGGAAGATAATTAGTTATTAGCAGTACTGCATTTTAATTTTAGAAAGCGCAAATCTGCTTATGAATTATGAAAATTAGTAAGACCGCTAAAGCGTAAATGAAAAATTTAGGTCCGCAATTAGCGGATTTGCGCTTTAGCGTGCTGGTGCCCACCACTGGTAACAGTAGTCTTTTATCAAAGAAAAAACAGTCCAAATAAAATCTATTATACCAGCTGATTGAATGAATTTACTGAGCAACAGAAGTGAAAAATGTTCATATAAAAAAAACCAGCAGATGAGTTTTCTGCTGCAGGAGGTTTTACTGAAACTGAAGTCTTTCCTTTGATAAACTCTTTGTTGTTCCTCTGATCTGCTGCATCATGTCAGTGCTGGTGGGAGGTGAGCCTGAAGGGTTAAAGTTCTTTGTTTCATGTTGAGCAGGCTGAAACACGACGATGAGGAGCTGAAACTCGTTCCTCTGCCTGTTCAGAGGTCATTTGACTGTAAGTGTCTGCTGTCTGCAGGATGACAAAGACCTGGTACCAGAGTTTGTGGCCTCTGACGGCCTGACATGTTTCATTAAAGTTGGAGCCGAGGCTGATCACAACTATCAGAACTACATCCTGAGAGGTGAGCGTTAAAGAGGTTCCACACACAAACATGGTCGGGTTAACATTATTATTATTATTATTATTATTATTATTATTGTTATTGTTATTATTATTATTATAGTTGTGATGATGACTCTTCCCAGGAGTTAACATCCCAAAAAATTCACCCGAAGGTCAGACCGTGCTGTGCTCAGAGGAATGAGCTCTAATAGCCTCTTTTAAAACCTTACTTCAGGTATGGTCACTCCTGGTCCTGGGGGGCTGCAGGCCTGATGTTTTACTTGTTCCTCTGCTCCAACACACCTGATATGATGATTATCAGGTTTCTGCAATACGGAGGACCAACACTGACATAATTAGAAATAAAAGCAGAATTATATGAACCACTAAATAAATACATTTAAAATGCACCAATGAAATTTAAAAATGAGAAATTTATCTCCTGTTTTATATTTTAATTGACTTTCATATTTATTTTTCCAGGTTAGTTCCAATAAATTAGTTTATACTGTATATTTGAACACATAATTTCAATTTTACTGTTTTTTAACATATATTAATTGTTTTTCCTTTTATTTCTACATAAAATTGTGTGTTTTAAATGTTTATACTTAAATATTTTTATATTTTTTCCCAACACGTCTTTTTATTTCTATGTGTTGCATGCTTGTGCCTCAGTTTAGCTAAAAGTTTAAAGTTTAGTTTAAAACAAAGACAAGGAGGAAAACATTACCTGTGTGTTTATTTTTAACTAAACTTTAAGCTAAACTGCAGCAACACATAGAAATAAAAAGACTTGTTGGACAAAATTATAAAAATAATTCAATTTAAGCATTCAAGAGACACAAATGCATGTACAAGTAAAAGGAAACACTATGTAAAATATATATTAAAAAAACAAAAATTTAAATTATGTGTTAAAATATGTATTTATTGGAACTAAGCTGGAAAAATAAATATGAAGGTCAATTAAATGATAAAACTTGAGGTAAAGTTCTCCTTTTTAATTATTTTGGTGCGTTTTAAAAGTATTTATTTATTTAAAGATTCATCTATTTCTGCTTTTATTTCTAATTATGTCAGTGTCGGTCCTCCATACTGCAGAACATGAAGAGGTAGTTCAGTGACTGAATCAGGTTTGTTGGAGCAGGAAACATGTGAAACATGTAGGGCTGCGGCCCTCCAGGACCAGGATTGTCGACCCCTGTAGGACAAACAGAATATTATTGAATCTGTATAAATAAATCTCTACAGAAACTGTAAATTTTCTGTTCGTAAACTATCATACATTTATTTAGAATGCAAACTAGCAACAGGAAGAACTAAGATCAGATTGATTGAAGATTGAAATATAGCTTGTTTGGAAGAGCTGCAGGAGAAACATCTTTAATCTCTAAAACCAACCTGGCAGCATGACTTGTCTCTGAACGGTTTTATTTGAAGGAAACAAGACTTCTAGAACAAAACCATTCCACAGTGCAGATATTTACCCATAATGCACTGCAGCATATCAGCACGGTGGTGGAGGGATGATGGTTTGGACCCCTCGCTGTCACTCACTGGACTTGGACCATGAAATCCTCTGTAGACCAAAGGATTCAGTAACGCTTTCTTTTACGGTACACTTATTACCATGTATTTACAAGGTAATAAAAAGGTTAATTAAATGGTAATTACTACCTTATTACCATGTAATTACGTGATAATTAGGATACAATTTTACTATGTAATTAATTGTCTGCAGTAATGTATTACAATTCACTATGTAAGATCTAAATAAGTAGTAGGTAATTAGTAATTAAAAGAAAGCATTACCAAGGATTCTAGAGTCTGAGTCCATCATTCTGAAGTTTGGGCAAAACCAGGTCCAGCAGGGACCTTATCCCAAACACAGCAGCTGATCCACAACAGAACGGGTCAAAATGAAAAGAATCAAGGTCCAGTCAGAGTCCAGAACCTCAGTCTGATTGAACTGCTGTGGGACCTTCAGAGGTCTGAGCAGAAACCAGCGTCTGCAAACCTCATTCAGCTGAACTGAGCAGAAGAGTGGGCCAAAATTCCTCCACAACCACGTGAGAGATGGATGAAGTCCTCCAGAAACCCACTGCTGAGGGTTCTGCTGCTACCGGAGGGTCTCCCAGCTGCTGGAACCAGGTTTTCAGTGGGTTCTGTCCTGTTTTTGTCCACTTGAGGTTAAATATTTGGACTAATTTTAGAAACTGGTGGGGGCCAGATCGGTTTTCTGTCCTGAAATATTAAACCCTGAAAAAAACACTGACGGAAGGTGAACTTTTCTTTTTCCATGTCTATAAAAACCCAGAAGTCTCTGATGAGTCTGAGCTGTGAGGATGAACCAGACTCAGTAAATAAAAACCATTCAGTTGAACTCGTTCACAGAAAAATAAGATTTAGTTACAACAAAGTAAGTTCAGATATTATATTTGATTTTCTAAAGACCGGTTAAACATGTTTGAAAGATAAAAATGTTCATCTTGTGCCTTTAATATGTTCTGACTCAAACTGTAAAAGAAAAAAACATTTTTCTTAGTTTTAATGTCTAAAGGAGTGTGAGAGTTTGTTCTCACAGAAAGCCACAGATTATATGTTAGTCTGCAGCAGCTGGACTCGTCTGTGGAAACTTATCCATCCTGTCTGTGTCCTCAGCTCTCAGTCAGATCATGCTGTTTGTGGACGGCATGAATGGAGTCATAAACCACAACGAGACCGTGCAGTGGCTCTACACGCTCACAGGAAGTCCGGTGAGTCCCTGCGACTGTAGACAGACATCTTTTTTCAATCTGAGGACCTTTTCAAAGCATGAGGGCCAAGTGTCACAACTGTCAGGCTACGTTCACCTCAGGTACGCACAGATTAATGTTTTCTTAAGCTCCGTTTCATACAGTATTTATGGTAAAGATTCTAATTTAACTCTGATGTGAGCAGTCCACAGTCCTGAAGACATGACGTGTCACACAGCTACATGTTTATCAGTTCAGGTGTTGCTCTATCACAGGAGTCTGCAATCTTTATGATCAAAAGAGCCATTTCTGCTCCTTGGCTCACTAATAAAAGTGTTCAGAACCACAAAACAAGCTAAAACTGTGATTATCAACTGGTGGTCCATGGGCCTTTTCAAGGACTTTTTGGTAACCTTGACGTCCAGTGGAGGTGACATTATAAAACTAACAAAAATACTGTGAATTTTATTATTTACTATTATTTTTACACATCAGGACTAGGGCTGCAACGATACAGAAAATTCACGATTCGGTTCGATACTTTAGTCTCATGGTTCGATATTTTTTCGATACAAAAAAGAGAAATGTCCATGCCCCTTTTAACTTGTATTTTATTTAAATTAATTATGAACATTTGTTTAACCTCAAAAGTACAGTTTTTAAATTAAATGTTGCTGAAACAAGTTTCTCAGTGGATCTGTCCTCAAAAATACAGCCTAGGTGGAGTAGTCGAACACAGATCCACTGATCCTTCAACACAGAGCATCTTCAGAAGACAAGTTGATAAAGTAAATTTTTTAAATCTGTATTTGTTCCATACAAGTGTGTATTGAACCTAAAGCACTGTTCGATACGGTTCGATATGCCCCAGGGCAGCTGTGGCTACAGTGTAGCTTACCATCATCAATCAGTGTGTGAATGTGTGGTGCATGAAAATTGTAAATTGTCTTTGAGGGTCTTGAAAAGTGCTATATAAGACTAATGCATTATTATTATTATTATTATTATTATTATTATTATTATTATTATTATTATTACGTAATTCATTGCGCCGTCAGCATATTAAACAGAAAAACAAAAGGTGGAATGTTTTTATTTATTTTTTTTTTTTTTAATGACAGAGTTTAGAATTATCTTGGACCAATAAATGTAAGTTAAACAACGTAGCGAAGAAACTTAAGTTGCAGTGAGATGTTAAATAAAATGCAGTTACAAAGTACAGAAACTGGAACTAAACTCAAATTATTAATGCTTTCCATTTATTTACTTGTAATGTTTTTAAATAAAACTAATATTTGTGAAGTTATACCAAAGAAAACAACTGAAGTGATGTGATATAAAACATATCACCATGATAACGAGGCAGCGCGTGGTCACGTAAACATACGTCTTCCGTAGACTAGACCGCCTCATTTCACAGCCGACACCATCGTCCTGCGTAAACCGTGGCCAACGTTGACCGCGGTCTACGTCTGCTGCAACCCATGAACTGAGACACAGCCATTGTTACAGACTCAGTCATCCAGGACATGGCAGGTACAGAAAGCAAAACAAAAACCATGGCATTGGTATTGATGGCACCAATATTTGGATTGATCCACGTACCTGTGCTTTAATGTAGAAGTCTGATGAAATGTGAAATGACCATTCGGACCAAAAAACGAGCTAACTTAGCACCACGTGTGATGGTGAAACAAGTGTGATTTGGAAAAAAATCAAACGTGTCATTCAGGAATCATGTAAAACATGATATTGGGCACAAATGGACAAAGAAAATGTAAAATGAGTCTTTTGCCTGCAGTGTGAACGTAGCCTAAGAAACTTGAGTCAGGGCAGGTTTACAAAGCTGCGGCGCCTCCTGCTGGATGAACTCAGCTGTTTGTGTCTCTTCAGTCTCGTCTTCTGGTGAAAACAGCTCTGAAGCTGCTGATTGTGTTTGTGGAGTACGCAGAGTCCAACAGTCCTCTGCTCATCAGCGCTGTCAACACGGTGGATGGAAAGAGAGGTACGTTGTTCTATTTTACATTATATTCATTTCTGTAGCTCTAAACTCAGTTTACACATTAACCCAAAACCTCTAACTCAATAACAGAACCACACATGGCACGTGATACGACAAACTGTTATATAACAGTCTGTAACAATGATATCTGGACTAACAAAGACCTTGTAAAACCTTTGACCTTAATTTGTGACCTTGATTTTAGAACTGGGGTGTAAGAAAGATTACGACATGCTGTCTAAGTAGTAGCACCGATAACCGATTTTTAAAGCACCTGACCTGCCAATTCCGATTTTGGCCAATACCAATATTTAGTTTTGTTTTTTTAAACTGACACTATCAGATGTTAAAAGGTCACAATACACCTTCAATGTTCCAGTTTTATTTTATTGAAAAACATCAAACGACACCCTTGAAACAATACAAACTTGCTTTAACTGGGGAACTTTAGAGATTGACCGAAAAGGTTTTTTTAAGGCCGATTGCTGTTGCAGATTATGTGACATCAGTCTAATCCAGTGGTGTTAAAAGTCGGTCCTCAAGGGCCGGTGTCCTGCATGATTTAGGTGCTGCCCTGGTTCAACACAGCTGAACTACGTAGTACTTAATTAGTAGGCCTCTGCGAACCTTGATGACATACTCAGGAGGCCTACTAATTATGTACTCATTAGGTTCAGCTGTGTTGAACCAGGGCAGCACCTAAAACAATCAGGCCACCGGCCCTTGAGGACCAACTTTGGACACCACTGATCTAATCGATCCCCAATATGTGCTGCTGATTTCTTCGTCCATTTATGATACATTTACAGAAACAGACTTTCAAAGTGCAGATACAGCTAATTTAGACTGTTGAAAATAAATTACAAGTTGAAAACGTACCCTTATTGTTGGCTCTCAGTCTTACATCGTTAGCCGCCACCGCTCTCTTCCAGGAAGGGTGTGGCAATGCATGCAGCCATGGGGTCTCAAGGCATGGTTGTTGAATGGACCAATGAATCAATGAACACAACCAAAATATCGTCTGGCTGATGTATCTGTCAACCTCTAGACAACATCCCTCTCTCTCAGCAGAGCAAAATGGGACAGTAGATGACAAGATCAGTGGATACGATCAACTCATGTAAATATTGGACGATCTCCCAAAATCAAAGATCGATAAATCTTCTGTCCAAATTATCGGTGCACACATAGTATCCAGTTGTGTCAAATTATCTTGAGCAGATCAGATGTTATGGTTTAGACAATCAAAGGCCTTTGAGCTTGGGATGATAAAAAGTGTAGACAGTTAACTGATGATGCATGAAGTTTCATAAAATTACAAAGAGTAAATCAAAAGTTTTGGGCGGTACAGGAAGAAGTTTACGGACGTATATCTGGACGGAAGGACAGAGACTAAATTGTTACATTTGCCTTTGACAGCTGAATTAAAAGCATTAGTTGTTATAGGACCGAGCTTTGGTCACCATGAGGAATAAAGGACCTGCCATGGTAGCCATCATTTCCACATCAGGTGTGTTATGTTGCAGGTGCAAAGCCATGGACTAATGTGACGGAGGTTCTGATGGAGAAAAATGGTTGTGACACCGAGCTGCTAATATTTGCCATGACGCTCATCAACAAGGTAAATAAATGGTCGTGTTTCATACAAACAATCTTCTGTCAAATTTAATGAAGTTGTTGACGAGTTAAACTTTGTGTTTTTACATCAGAGTCTGGTTGCTCTCCCAGACCAGGACTCGTTCTACGACGTGGCCGACTGTCTGGAGCAGCTGGGAATGGAGACCATCATCCACAAACACATGATGGACAAAGGGACGGAGCCGGACCTCCGAGCACAGTTTTCTATTTATGAGGTAAGAGCAGGAACAACAGGTGTACCTGAACTATTTTAACTAGTCAAACATGCTGATAAACACTTCTGATTATATGATCCATCAGCTGATTCTGCTTGGAGAGACCAAACATGTCCAACACTTTGTTTAGAAACAACAAGCTACAAGGGTTAACATGTTAGCAGGTGTATTAGCTACTGCTAGTTATCCTCCTGAGACCTTTTTCTGGATATGCATTTTTCTTTATCCAAGATACTTGGGTTAAATAGGACCTAATATGTATAATAACTAGACTCTGTCATGGTACAGGAAGTGGTTTTTGCAAAAAAATAAAAACATGTCCTCATATGAGGACACTGGGTCTCAAAATGTCCCACTTGTTGAGGAATACCTGAGCCGTTAACAATCAAGAAACGTCATGATAGCCTTTCTGGTGGTTCCATTTTCCTAGTTATTTTGGCAACACAGCAGCCAGCTGTTGACCAGAGCAAGATTAGTAAAGATCATCATCATCATCATCATCGACAACTTTCAAATTGCTCTTCAGTTTGAAGAACATATTACGTGACACAATGGCAGGAAATTGCAGAGCATTAATTGGTTGAACAAATATATCACTTGCAAGAACTATTTACGTTTGTGAACTGTTGTAAATATTTCCAAATTTGTTTAACAAAAATTTGTGACCAAATATACCACTTACACTATTTTCATTTTTAAACTGTTCTATATATTTGCAGTTTTATCCAACCTCATGGCCAAATTAATTATGAAATTATAGTCCCAATGTCCTCAAATGAGGAATTTATGTTTACTAGCATTGTACTTTTCTTCAGTTGTAAACATTTGTTATGCTAACCTGTCTTATGAAGCTAAAGATGTAACTGTGCATAAATATGCTGGTTTCAAGCATTAAATGTAACTTGGATTGTTACCTTGGACATTTTTTTCTTACCAGAGTTGCTTTTTACTGGGATCCGCCATCTTGTTTTCACCAAATGAGTGTAATATTGTCATGAGACCACTAGAGGGTGCTGGTAGTGTCCTTTAATGAGGCCAGTGGGTTAAAGTTGAAAAAATTGATGTTTCATGGACAGAGGGGCAAAATGTCCACGTATGAGGTCGCAGGGTCTGACCTGTGTGTGTGTGTGTGTGTGTGTGTGTGTGTGTGTGTGTGTGTGTGTGTGTGTGTGTGTGTGTACTCAGACATCCCTGCGGAACGAGGACAACGACTTGGACGACTCGTCCCATCACCTCCGTAAAGACAGAAGGAAGTTGGCGGTCGGCGAGCAGGAGGGACGCAGGGGCCGCCGCTCGTCCAGTCAGGACCTCCCCAACCTCCTGCCCCCCTCCCCCACCCCGTTCACCGTGCCGTCCCCGTCCTCCTCCAGCCCCGTCGTCTCCCCCGCCATATCCTCCCCCAGTCTCACGCCGGTGCTCGGCGGCAGGCCCTTGTCTCCACTATCCTCCGACTCCAGCAGCTCCGCCTCCAGTCCGTCCGGATCCCGGAGAGGGTCCCCGCTGCCTCCCCACATGGCCCCCAATGGCAGTGTGACCACGGAGCAGGAGACGAAGACCCCGCCCAGCCCGTAAGTCCCCACTGTACACAGACTAACCCCTTCATTTCACCATCATCTAAATGATTTCCTGTCTTTAATCAACTTTAAAACAATTATCTTTAATCAGGAAGTCTGGTCTCTTTGGCAGCTCTAATCAGCTGAAGCAGAAAAGCTTTCAGGACAGCAGTCGCAGCAAAACCTCTGAAGCCGGGTTCACACCGAACACGTTTTGAGTAGCAAAAACGCGTCCATCGCCTTAAGTTGGACGCGCTACGTTCAAACCGAGACTAGAGGCGCGTCTGAAGAGGGAGGAGCATCTTGGTTTTTTCGGTCTGTCTTTGATGTTGGATGAAATAAAGATAAAATAAAGAAAATGGCTTTGCTTTATTTACAGAGAGCAAGTGACACCAGATAATTAATTCACCGGATGATTTAAAGGCGGTTTGTTCAGCTAGTTTCACCACTCCAGGAGCTGCGAGCTGACAAACTATTTTTTTAACACCGCGGTCAGTTTAACGAGCTGCTGACCTGCATCGGTGCTGCTATCTCCTGCAGACGGTCAATTTCAGCTAAAGAGCTCCTGTCCGTCTGTTTCAGGTTAGTGGGCAACAATCAGGAAACCGTCACGTGGAAAAATGAGCCTCTGATTGGTTGCTGCGGCGCGTCGCGCAGCAAAATTCCAATTTTTTTTAACTCAAGCGTCGGCTACTTTGGATGCACCGCATGCACGGATAACCCTCATACCTCACCTGTTGCTTCACACCAAGCTAAACCGGCTAGACGCGCATCCACCATAGACGTTACATGTAAACTGGCTGCTGCTGCTGCTCAAAACTCATCCGATGTGAACCCGGCTCGATAGTTTTTATTGAACCACAGATTCAGCAGCGTTGGGCTGTTGTGTAAAATGTAAATAAAAACAGGAAGTGGTGAAATGTAAATGTGATCTGTGCCTCTGAACCAAATGTCTTGCTTCCAAAAAACTTTTGTTTCATTTTTTCTTTAAATTGGCAAAAATTCTTAGTTCAAACAAGTCATGTTTATTGTTTTCTTTGTGAGTAAAGTTGAGGTTTATGAAATGATTACAATTTTTGATGTTCATTTACATTTTACATCACAACTTTGCCCAAACTGAGCAAGAC